ATCATTACAACAAAATGAATGTTGATGAGTTGCAGGTTGCAGATTTAAAGGACTGTTTAAAACTGTTCGGCCGATGTGAGCGTCCTTACATCACCAGCATTCAATCTCGCATAGCTACAGAGTACACAGAATTTTATGACAGAAGAAGAGGTGTAACTAGTAGCGTGTATAAGAATATTTTCACATTCATCTGCTTCCACTTATGTTTGATGTATTGTTGTCAAGGATAATTAAAACTGCTCTAGAGCAGGTCTTTAGGCGTTTTCGTTATCTAATAAGTTCAATATCAATATTCTTGAACAGATATTAAATATCATATATTTTTGCTTATTCCACTGGTGTTTCCTTTTCAATAAACATTGAGCACTTTTTAAAGAAACGTGGCTATACTTGAATTCAACTTAGAACAGGTGTTATTTATAACGCTTAACATACGTTTGAGGTCCTAATTTTTGTGTACTCCTTTCAACGACGATTTGTAATTTTGTTCTGTCATGTGAGCCATTTGATTCTGATAAGTAATGATTCAGTATACACTGAACTATACAGTATACTTTGTTTATTCTTCGTTGTAAACTGTTTGTGTTTATGCTCTGGTATGCTGTGTTTGGGTTTGCTGTTTATTGCACTGAAGTATTTTCAAATATCTTGACATTTTATAAACGAAAATAATAAGAGAATACCAACATGTCAACATAATCAATATTCAAAAAAATATTTAATAAAACTAAAGGAAGTTATGACCAAAAGATTTACAAGGCGACTCCTTAAAAATAGGATCGGATGTTCCTGAAGAGTACGCGTCTTCTACTTCATCTACGATACCCGTCATGTAAATCCTGGTCAATCAAAATTAGAAATGTTACTCCCATTTCTAATATGATATACAACAACGAAGCCAACAGGTATACTAACGAGCAACAAGTACTTGCAATCTAATATCTCATAGGGAAAAATAATAAAAATCAAGCAAAATGACTAAAAGCATCGACAACATTCTTTTTCGTATAGAAAGTTATATTTTATCGAACATGTAGCTAAAATACGATCCTTCGATTTCTGTGCGCTGCTACATCATGCCAAAGAATTAGAACCTATAGTGTTGTTCGAAGGCATGTTTCATCACTGTGTTTTACCGCTGATTAGTAACTCATTTATCATCACTGCAGTGAATCATTAGTGACGGTGTGACTTTCCCAGTGATAAGGATTTCAAGTTCTTAAGCGAGGTTCTTTCAAGTCACCGCATTTTGAAATTCGCAGATTTTTATGTTCCGACGTAAATGAAGTGAAGGTTGAATAAGTGGGTTTTCTATCATATAGTTTTCGTTTACATTTCGTATTTCTTTGTTTATTTGTTTTTTTCTCCTAATTCAGGAATGAAAATAGTCTTATCAAATTATTCTTATCAGAAGATATCATAAAATGGTAGAAATCATACATATTCTGTCATTTACGGAAAACATTAATGATAATTAAAAGGAAGTCATTAAATATTATCAACATATTTAACATCATAATTAATGTAATATATGTCATCACAAATGACTGCGGTACATATCGCCTTTAATGTTGCTGACAATAGCAACTTATAAGACCTAGTTTGAAAACCGACCATCTTTAAATACTGATCACTTGTAGATATCAGATATATCTGTTAGGTTTGGTATGAGATAGATAGGTCAGAAGAAGAATGTGATAGGACTATTTTAGATTGACTAGTCCAACACATACCAGATATAATAGACAAGATCTGCACTACTTTGATGAACATATTTGTTGTGTCATACTTGATAAATCAATTCAAAGAATTTTTCTATCTATATGCCGGCATCTGTGTCGACAAATTTGAGTTTTCTCAGTGGCCGCCTAGATTTCAACACTTGAGGCCCCAAGCACCACTGACGAGCCCTAGAAGTGTGAAATCAGCTGTTAAGTGCAATTTCATGGCTGGAATGGGTTTTTTTTCTAAATTTAAAAGTAGCTATTCGTTTGTTAGTTTCTTGTTGAACCCTTTACATTATAAACACTGACGTCATATGGTTCATTAGTACAATAAATCGATTAGGTATGTGCATTTCAACTGTATTTACAAAGCAATAAACAAGCATTAGCAGGTGCATAACGAAAAAAGCATTGCTTACAAAGTAGAAACGTAATGCGAAGGAAAATGTGGAGGAGTTGACGGTAGTTCCCTATTGTTTCAGTTGATCTATTTGATCCTCGGTCACAACACAAAGTAGAGGGAAAAAGAAATTTAATATTCCATGATTAATGTGGAAAACAAATATTTTAATTGTAGAGTATATAATAATTTATGGTGTAACGTTTTGATAAGATTTATCATTAGTTTAAAAATCTGATTTTATCATTTCATTGTGGGGCGGTGGATTTGCCATCAATTAATACATCAAACAGAATAATTGAAACGTTATTTGTATAATTATACTTACATCAGTACATTACACGGGAAGCGTAATAAATTTGGTTGCATGGTTTGTCAATTGTTTTGCATAATACATCTGTTTTATCCTTCTAGGACTATAGGTGTATACCTCAAAATCAATTCAAAATAAAAATAAATTACTTGATTACTTTTAATTGCTTTTAATTGTCAAAACTATTTCCATTCTTAAGCGTTATATGAATGAGTATAGTTGAATAGTACAGAGATTGCGTACAATACTATGAGCGACCTAATTGGATGATGTGTTATAATATAAGCAATATCACAGCGTTACTCGTTTTATACTATATCCACAATCTATTGTTGGCCAGTTATTTCTTATATTCTTTTAAAGAATTCAAATAATAGCAGACGGCTTCTCTCGGCGATAGATCTTTTTTTAATACATTTATGTTTATCACTTTTTTCATATGCTGATTTTTACTGCATTGTACCGTCGTTTTTTCATATATTGCCTCTTCATGTTTGGAAGATTTCATACTACATAGCCCTTTCTGAAACGCAACACTTAAAAAATAAAGAGCTTCAACCTGTAAAATTTAACACAATATTACGTCAATAAACCGACCGAACCAATATTCTATTGATCAAAGAAACCGGCAGTTAATTGTGTACAGTATGTATAAATGTTATAATTACGTATGTTATACAAATGTGTTTATGATGCATGTACCATCCACAAAACTGACCGTTTACATTTATAATGATGCAACATTTTAATGCATGAATGGATATTAATGTTCATTTGTCAGTGTGAAACAACCACTGACTGTTGTTGTGCAAAGCAATTATCCCTTTGCGTGTAAGAATCCGCTTCCGGTTTACAATTGCAACAGTATGTCAAACGGTATGGGTTCACCATTGAATGGTTAGAGGAACAATATCAGGCTTGTTAGTACTAAGAGTGTACCTAAAAATAGCAAAAACATAGGGAGAAATCTATGGAAGGCATTCTAGTCAGTAATAGAAAACTTGGTTAAAGTAGGTATTGTCGACATAGAGTCTAGACTCAGATTTATATTGCGGAATATAATTGTGAAATTTCCAGTTTCAGATACATTTTCATATCAAGTCAGTAAATTAAGAATTTACTTTTTAAATTAAGGATATAAATATCGACTCTAAGAACATCAAAGTTTGAACTCTGTGAAGAATTTAAAAAAAAAACAGAATTAAAAAAAAAAAAAAATGCCAGACTGCAAAATTCAAAATGTGTTTTTGCAAATCACTTGTATATATATATTGATTTGAAAGCAAGATAAAGATCTGGTTACTGGTACAGAAAAAAATGAATGTGTGCAATTATATTCTTACCTTGTGGATCCACTCGAAACATGGTTGTTTGTTTATTCCAAGTAACACATGGACAAAATGAATAAAGACATATGAATCCCTGTTGCCTCAAAATAGAGAGAAAGATTTGAAACCTAACATAGCAACTTTGGTTCTAGAGCGCACATTGGTTTTCAATCCGCTGTGTAGAAGTGAACTATAGCCTCAGAAGCAGAGAACAGGAGCGTATATACAACTCTGCATAATTAGTTAGCCATTGTGTCTTTGATGTAACGACTTTCATGCCTGTATGTGTAATGGCGCTGTAGAGCCAAGAAATCTACCACCAATCCATCAAACAGAGAAGAGAGTGGCAGATAGAAAATGATCACATCACCACTGAAATCTTGGTGTGTTATTCTTAAAACTATCACTGAGAGACAGCGTATCACAAATAGAATTTCGCAAGTCTGTTTATGCGGTTTTTGCATTGTTTATTAAGAGCTGTCAAAACATTTATTTTTCATTCTTTTTACTTATTTGTGTTATATAGCAAATACCAAAAATGTGAAAAGCAATGTGATTGTAGCGTGGGTGTTAAATGCGTCATAGTTTACAGTTTTGTTCAATGACTTCAAATGTCCAAATTTGTTTTTGATTTGTAATTAATTCATACAAACGAATTCAAAAATCCAACACACTAAACAAATATCAAGCAATGTATATATATAAAAACTGAAACCCTCTAAAGTGCCACTTGCTTACATATTGCAAAAGTATGTTGTAATGTCCCTCATCGATATGAAATATAGGATCTTTAAAAAGTTTCTCTGCATTCCATGAAGAAACTTAATTTCTCGAGGATAAAACTTGCCGGTTGCCAAGCTTAGACCAGCTCAAAGGGATTATACTTGCAAATAAAGTAAATTCTCCTCGAATATTGTACTGTAGAGTAATGTTGTAAAACTATATAAGTAAAAGCCCTTAATAGTACAAACGTACTTCTCGGCGTTACACAGAGGAACCCGTTATAATGTCACCCGTTTTAGACATATCACTATTATAATACAATTCTAATATACAAAATGTAGTATCTCTTGTTTACAAACAGTAAAACCTCGCTGCAATGCCAGTCATTTATATATAGCAAATGCTCTGCTGTTGCTATTGTTCTTTTTTGACTTTCCTGAATCCCCTTAATTAAATTTGTTGGCAGTATAGAGAGGGTTTATTGTACAAAACGTTTTCTTTGATATACATACCATGAACTTTATCCTCTGTCAGCTGGCTCAGCTAAAAAGTAAAGAAAGGATGTAAGAAGCATATTAAACATAACTGAAGCAAAGTATTTTTTTTCAAAATAAATGAATTAAAATACAATGTAACGTTAAAGATTCTATCATCGCCTTAAAGGTGTTACAGGGTCATCTCCATCAGAGGCAAGTGATTTCTTAAACTGACAACACGAGGCTTGCCAATGGATTGTCAACTTAATAATCTTTATCTGGGTTCTGAGATCACCCCTATCTTTTCCTGAAGGGAAAAAACTCGTATACCTGCTATAACGTTATTTCAGCGCTTACAGGGCGCACCACTGCAATGAGACAATGATATCTCACTCCAGTAAAAGCTTTTATCTCCAGATAAAAAGGAAAAAAATATATCTCACTTCAACATAAATGTTGTTTATTTCATTTAAGCCAAACATACAGCGAATTCAGTAATAAATATATAGCATCGCATATCTTGTGAATATATGTTTTGGCAAAGAATGAATTCGCATCAAATGCAACGATAGAATTTAATGAATTATGACAACAACAAAAATGCTGAAAATTATATAAGTATTGTTGATCATGATAGAGGTCTAAAGTGAATTGAGTTGCTAACATTTCTTGAAAAATCCGGGAAATAATTGTACTAGTTACACAAGATGAATTGTTTTATTAAATGTTTGTCTACTAAAAAAGTAAGCGTGTGAAAAAGATAGGCAAGTCTTCTAAACCGAACCAAGGAACGTCAAGGTACTACGGTCTATACTGGACCGATAACCCAGGGTCTCTGCACTACATTGACCTTTCGAGTACATGTAACGCTTACATCCGATAGCGACCCACCGGATCCGAGCAAATATGATACTGGACAAATATACACTGACATTTGGACCAATTAATTAGATCCAGGAACCTACGTATTGTATAACCAGATGTAGTGTAGACAACAACGTCCTACGTCATCAGTGTTAATGGATTTCACACAGTATGTCATCTGCTCGCATGATAACGCTTTCAACAACACTGTCTGCCAATCAAAGACTTGACACATCATCAATAAGAAATTACTTATATTTTGTACTGACTTTTCGACAAAATTGCATTCATTTGACACAAAGCGTCAAGCAATCCGACTTTGTCATGCAATGTCGAGAACGAAATTGACTTCTTACAAAAATATCTACACTATAAAAAGTTCGTTAGCGTCGACTTTGCAAGTTTCTCCTAAAGACAAATTATGGAAAATACATAACTATTCTATGTATTACTTGACGAACATCACGCAAAGATGTGGCAGTGCACCAAAGGTGTAATTTTGGCGAATTTTCTGATCGCTTTAATGCTACGTCTGCTCGCTTTATTTGTTTATAGTGTCTACTTTGATTGGCATATTAGTGTTTCACGACATTTCAGCACGAGGATGTTAATACATAAATAGTAACATAACCACTTTTCACAAAATAAAAAAATATCTTAAGTATTGGTTTTCACATCGTAACTACGTAAGCGTTGAACTGTTACTAATTGTCATTCATAGGGAAATGAATGCCAACAGAATAAAGAGCAAATCCAAATGGGCTTCATGATGAAGCTGCCCTTACCAGTCGACATGATGCCATAGAAAGACAATTGCAATATTCCAATGCTTATATTTAATTTTTTACAATTTTCGGCTGATTATAAGAAAATTAATCTTAATTTGTTTTTGATTTTCCACAATCGCTTCCTATGCTTCAAAATTAAGTTACTTGGCATCACTGAGGAAACAGCTGTATGGTCAACTGTATCTAACTCAAAATTATCATAACGTTCTGTTCGGTTGTGTGTCTTTTGTCCAATCTGAAAGAAACTCGACAGAGCTTTTGTTATGTGATTTCAAAATCTGATAGTTGACAATCGACCAATATAGACAATGACATCTAGTTTCTCTCTTTTTGATGACATTTATCACAATATTTTTTCCTACTTTTCAATAATTAATTTTCGTGAGGATTTATTTTCGATGATTCTGTTGATATTCTTTATCCATAAATTCATGTGCTCACGAAACCATAAACATTTACATATACAATCAACATGAATTAATATCACAACTGTATTTCCTCTATACAATTTATCAATGGAATCGAATCGAATTAGTATTCTTCGAAAACTCCGCGAAATGTGATCTTCTCTTTACAGTATTTGGAATTCAATAACCAGCTGTTGCTATCATGACGAACCAAAATTCCTTCCTTTAGATATTCTCAAGAAAGACATTAATTGATTAAAGCTATTATGCTTCTTTGAATGTGTATCACCATGCGATTGGGTAAATAAATCCCTAGCATTCATACCGTACAGTAAGTGCTATGATCAACGTCATATAAATAGCGTAATTCAGATCTATATCCATTTTGTTTCTTTGACGTCGCACTTTCAATAAAGCAGACAATGGGAGTGACAATTTATCAAATACATAATAATTCACCATATATGGACATAAAATCCATTCATTCACAAAAAATTAGATACAGATCTCTTGAATATTCAAACACAAAATTTACTACTGCATACCAACAAGCAGGGGCCCACTGATTTTGCAGCCAGCAGTACCGTCAATGATAAATTTTCTTCAGGCAGATAATTTCAAATGCCAAATAAAATCAATTTTCATTTAATACCAGCAGTGAGGAAGAAAGAATTGATCAGGAGTAGTCAGTACTTTAAAATAATTTGCAAGTTAAATTGTACATTTTGGAAACAAAAATAAATTTCTAGAAACAATGTAAAAAAAGGCACACACATTTTTGTCGTTTTAAACTCAAAGTGCTCTACAGCATCATCCAAACACATACGATAAGAATACCAATGTAATTTAAATCGCAATGGTGTTTCCGGGGGAGACAGCATTCCTACGAAATACGAAACATTATCAAGAACTGCATAATATATGTCTTTTCGTGAAACGATTTCAACGAGATTGCGACTCCACATGGGACTGTAAATTCAATTGCAATTTACTGTAGATATTCGGTAGTGTTATGTATATGTCTTTTGTACTGAGATAATGTACACATCAAACCATACACATTGAAGTGCCGGAGTACTTATATCGATAAGCTGGTATATATAAATGTTTCTACACGCCGTACATTGCTTTTCCGCAGGGTTGTGATGTTAGTCCCGGACTCCTGATGGCCATTGACACACGCGTGAGGTGTAATTTACAAATACTTTAGAAACATATAGGGCACATCTGAATACAATATATGGTAGCTATATAAATATATCTTATCTGTTTGGATCATATGTAATGATCCAAGTTCAACTGCTAGCAGGTTATTCAATTGATACGTGCTTTAACAAATCAACCTTTCACTAGAAAAAAAATAAAGAAAAAAAGGGAAAAAAACACCAAACAAGCAGACAAACAAAAGCAAAAAACAAAAATCCAAACGAAAAAGAAAAACAAAACATGCATACAAAAAAACAAAATATTTTCCACATGAGATTTCATTTGAAGCTATGTTAATGTAAAATTGTTCGTGAATGGAACAGTCTGTTAGTTTTTATTCGCTTATACCAAAAGGATAAGTTTTATCATACTTTTCGTTATTTTCGAAAGATTTGAAACATCTTTTGCATTTGATCTAAATCTGTAACTAAAATATCATCGCATCACAACTACCATATGTCGGCTAGTGATATTATATATTTTATGTTCCGTATACTTAAAATCCATAGGAAAAATAGCACATACATTTACAAAACATGAATCTTAGTATCCAGGATACAGTGTACAGTATGAAGAAGGTTACCCATTCACGCCAAACTCAAAGTCACAACATGAAGTGTGAATCTCAGACAGCATGTTCATTACCTAGGGCAACGTACTACAAACCATACAATACTAAAGATACAAAGGATTCAGTCAAACTGGCTGTCCCTCCCACGTCCAACACACATCAGATGTTTGGACGTCGAGAGAAGCCGCGCGTGTATTTCGTGTCACTTGGACGTTCGCTCACCGGTATCAGGTCTCCATTGGAGTCCCGTCTGCATTGCTTCGACAACTTTGTGATAATAATCCTAAGATCCAACTCGGAAGATTCTGAGTCGTTTTTGGACATTTTAATTCCCGGCTGTCCCACTTTGACGGATCAATGATGTTCCTGACTCTTTGTCAGACTGATAAGTTTGATAAATCCAAGATGAGATAAGTTCTACTTGTAGTTACATCTGCTACATTCACACCGCCGAGTCCTCGCATATTGTCTCGCTGCAGTAACAGTACTTTCTGTGACGAATAGATATCATGTCTATCGAATACACAGGGACGATGACAGATATATATATACATATATATATATTACATATCCAATACGCATCACCTCTGTATACAAATTGTAAATCAGCTTTCCCGAAACACCATCGAAAACCACCTAGACGAATCGTTCCCGAAAAATATAAAAGTGTCGGTCATTGGGTAAAATCTCTATAGACGAGTTTTATCCGCAAAAGGAACATTAATAGTGGTTCAACATCTGGTCGTAAAAAAAGTGAGGCGGGTTTATTGCCATGTGCAATCTGAGTGTGTATTATTAGCAATGTATACGATATCAAATGCACGAGAGAGGAAACTTTGAAGCCGTGTGTGCCTGGAATGCCAATGAGGGGTTACGGTTTACAACTGCGGTGTCCTAATAGGCCTATATAGTAAAATTTTACTCGCTCTATTAAAATGTTACGTTATCTGAACATGCAACAAACATAATAAAAATCTTCCAGTATTTCCGAAACAGTATGTTGGCATAGCCAAATTAAAGGTTTGAGTTTTTTGAAGTCGATGTTTCATTGCTGCGATTTGGAAGACATATAATGAGCATTATTCGACCGTGATTTTTTTTACAGTTACGACAACTATGCAGTCGCGAGTGCTTTCACTAGACCATAAGATAGAGGATGTAAATCATGTTGACATGCACTTGGTGCGTCATATATCCTACTGTGACAACATACACAGGAACGTCACAATTGGCGACGGATCAACTGGTTACTGGAGGGAGAGAAAGTGTATAACGATTTTTACATCAATTAACAGGCAAATAATGCAGTAAAACATGGTCCTCTAGCTCTCGGGTAATTGGTTGACACGTGTATACACGTGTGCTACTAACACACGCGCAGTCTCTCTGCCTAATCATATATCAAAGAGATGTTATGTCACTTAGTCATAACTCCTGCTATGAATAGAATTAGGAATTACACGTGAATATAATTCGTACAGGTAATTATTGGCAGACGCTGGTTTCGCGATGTGGTCGCGCATTTACGGAGATATCTTCGCGTTCTAGTGTACCTCGCCTTTTATATATAGAACGTGGGAGCTGATGACTCTTTTGCGTTGGAGGTACATAACTGAAAAATTGTCACCGAAGGCAGGTATCGATCAATTTACAAATTATTGATGACAATATCCTACAAGCACAAGCGACCTGGTATAGCGCCCTTCCCTTGGGAAATCTGCTGACCTTTACTTGGACCGACTTTTTCCCGCTAAATCGTCTCTCTGGCCGTTTAACACGTATCTATATTTGTCAGCTATGTGATCATCCGAATTTTAAAGTGTCTTGGTAACGATTCAAATGGATCACACCATAAAGACGTAAACTACATAAAACAGATTAAACCTAGTTTCTCTGCCACCTGTATCCAATTTAACGCTTTTTACATGCAATATTGAAACTAAGTCGTTTTTAATTTTAAATCATTTTTAATTGTGTGACCCTACAATATGATAGTATAGCTTTATGAAATAATATTACACACGGAATACAAAAGTATTCTTTGCATATCTGATCCCCTGGTGTTATTCCTCTTATAAAAAATGAATTTCAATTTTTGTTCATAGGGCTTGTAATATTTTACTCGTTCGAGATCGTGATATTGAGCAAATATTAAAATATAAGTGATAGGGAAACTGAGTAAAAAATACTGATATGAAATAGTGTTTAATTCACTGTAAGTAGGTGCCATATGTAAACAGTCTGATAATTGCTTATAACGTGTATAGTTAAGTTGATGGAGTTTAAAGCTTTGACATTTAAATATGTCATTTAATTGACATTTTCATTGTAAAAATTTTATTTTTTATGGTAGATGGCTGTTAATAGTCCAATTTATTTCACATTTACTTACGTAATTAGAGAAAGTTAATTGAGAAATAAATGGAACTTATCAGTCCCAATTACTGTCACGCGGATATTAAAGTGATTTCACAAACTAGTGTAGCTCATGACACTATATGATTCCAGATATGATAATTTTACATGTGTGTCTTAAATGCAATCAAGAACGAAATATTCTACAAACATCGATTGCACAATGCACATGATGTATTCTTCCTAAAGCTAAAGGCGACGGAGATGTGTTGGATCGCTTCCATTTGCTTTGTCGCATTGAGCACATCATTAAGAGCCGACTTATGCAAGGTAGCAAAGGAAATTGTATACTTGTTTGTGTCTAGGAACACCGAACTCATGTTTTATGCCATACTGAAAATAATCAGGGTTATGTCCAAACTTTGATATTGAGATATGGCACTAGAAAATTTGGTTCTCAGAAATATTGAAACTCATTTCAAGCTAATTGGTATGGTGCGGTTTGTAGGTGATTATCCCCACTAATATTGACACCGTGATTTCAAGCTAATTGGTCTGGTGCGGTTTCTGGGAGAGATTATATCATTTTATTTAAATCATTATGGCTAATTCAAATGATTAGATAAATGAAATTTAATGTAAATATTTTTAAAAATGTTTATCTTAAGTTAATGCGTGACATAAGCAGTGTCCTTATCCCTCTTTAAAAGTTGAGAATTTAGCATTCTAGCGTGCTAAAAGAACAACAGTAGTCCATGAAACAGGCAAAAAGTCGGAAATTGATTTCGCATATTAGTTAAACAGATCCGAGTACCAATAAAGGGATCATATGGTATGTCTATATTGCATAAAAGCACGCGACCGCGTATATAATGAAGGCAGCCTTTGGTTGCTCAGCACGTAGATCAAAACAATTAGCGTACAAGGGTGTATTATTACAAGATAATATTGTATTAAAATTAGGTGTCTGGTATGTCACTTCTTACGAAGGAATGTTATCTGATTGAGATAATGATAACACATTACATACAGGAACAGGCTACTGTGTAACAACCAAAAAGCTTTAATGTTTCTGCTGAAGAAGTTCAGCGACTGTCCGTTTTTTTTCCAAATATGTCAGAAGATTATATATGATCAGTTCCGAAACACATATCGGTATGCACGTTATGTTCAAAAGAATAATTTTTAAATGTCGTATTTTGTGTCTTCAATGAATCACGTGTCTATATCTTAAGTGATGGATAGGATTTTCTGTTTAGTGTTTGAGATATATATATATATATATATATACCTATCAATAAGTAGATTTTGCGTCTCTCTACAGATCAATAAGGAACACCGCTTTACGACAGCACGTGACGTGAGTTACTTCAGGCCTGTACGACTTAGTACTGCATATCGTTCGAGGTGAAGGAGTGAGCACTGTGTTCATAGTCTTTATGTGCATTTGTTGCCAAAATTCAATGGTAGTTTTCCAAATAGGATAGAAAATATTTAAAGGGAAACGTTTTTGCATTCCAGTGAATGAACACATGTCGATATTCTGGAATCATTTTCGACACAAGATATGTATGTTTTTTCAAACAATGTGAAATATTTTACATAGAAATCAGAAGAAAAAATGAAATTGTTTCAAATGTAAGAGACGTGTTCGCGTGGTTTCCTCAAAGCCTTCAATCATATATTTAAATATCAACATCCTTTGTGTAATAAAGTGAGTAGGTTTCCAATCCCAAACTAACCTGTATCGGTTGAGATTGTCAAATGAAGGTACATTTTCATAAAAGTTCAAATTAATTGAACAAAGTTTTAGAATATTGATTTCACTTGTCAATTTTAAACTTTTTATTTTTATATAATTTCAGGATTTTAGCAAGTATAACCTACGCTGTATTGGTTTAGAATGCAAAATAATTAACACTTTACCATTTTAATTTCATCCGTTGATAAGATGAGCAAAGTTTAAACTACTGTGTCATAGGTGATAGAAATAATAATCAAAATGTCCATTGTGCTTTAAAATTGTCGGAGAACAGACAGATCCTTACTTTGCGATCTACAAAATAGCTGGGGAACAGACAAAGCCTAAACTTGTGGTTCTATAAAATTGCTGAGGAACAGACAGATCCTTAACTAGAATGAAATCAATGTTGGACAAATAAAACGCTTCTCTGAATCGCTCATTTTTTTATTTACGAGCGTTCTGAAATCACATATCTTCCTTGTAGACGAAAACGCGAGCCATATGTGTGCTTTCTAAAATCAACGTGTGTGGTATTTTATATCACAGATGCAGCGAAATCGAAGACCTTCACCAAATAATATGTCCGCTCAGGTACCTAACATATACAATTTCCTTAACACTGTCCGGAACAACTTGGTTTTGCTATTACCGGCCGTTTTATTTCATGGTGATCTTTAAAACGTTATGAGTGTCGCAGTATGACTTTTTAATGTGCCTAGTTTTTATGAAGTTTCAAGTATGCACGTGTGATAATTTTCATAACAAACACTATATTCAATTTGTCATTTTTTCATTGATCCGTGTTATTACTGTGTGAAGTGTTTATCTAAACTTGCGGTTATATTGATATTTTTGGACACCATCCAAACCATGACAAAATACGGAACCGTACTTTTACAACGTCGGTATGGTTGTACCACACTTTGTCAAGATCAGGTATCAAATACTTCCAGACCCACAATATTTCTTGATCTCGAACAAACAAACTTTGGTATCACATTATACTGATGTTTGGTCCGTCTGTTTACAGACGAAACCTTCGTTATCTTCTGTGCAGACTACGTTTTCATCAGTGCAGAGGTTTAAAGTAATGGCTAAGAATTGTTCATCTCAGGGCGACAATTTGAGAAAATAAAACTCGCTAGTAACAGATCCAAAGTGAAAGGAAATCGAAGTAGAAGAGAGAGAGAAATCTCTGGACAGTCGTAAATATTCTTCAAAAAAAATAAGCCCTTGCATATTTTGTGGAGAAAACCTTACATTGGCTATCGTGATGTTTGTGTGTGTGTTCCGACATTGGATGTATCGTGTTTTATTGGTCTGAAAGACAAACTTGTTTCCAAGCCATTGGACAAAAATATTTACTTGAAACACTAAACAGTTTTTGATGCTCCCCTGTATCGACATGTATAAAGGCAGTTGTACACCAGCTTAACAAAACATAATAGATAAAAATAAGACAAATTTATGAAAAATGCTATACTAAAAACAGCATCTGTTAGACCCGTGAGGTACAGTTTCTCAGAGTTAAATGAAAAATGTATAGATATCTCCAAGATTAATGGTCATGTTTTCGATGTCAAATATTGTAATGTTATAAAGCTACATTTCTCCTTGTATATGGATGTTAAGTATCTGTAATGTACTACACTTGATTGACTTCA